TATAATAAAATTTGTTATACTATTAACCTCAGATATTGTCAATGCTTCTAAAGAAGGAAATAATTATTAGAAGGATAGGAAAATGAAGAATGATTCTAATTCTATTAATTCATTCTCTATAATGTTGTAGACAAAATTGTTCATTTACTTGTAGATTGTTTCTTTGGCTGAATACGTCTCTGAAAATTACGTTTTCTTTCTCTATAATATCTAGAAATTAATCTTTCTGCTGGAAATGAAAGTTTATCGAAATTGGGAATTAACAGTCATTACTAAATTACCTGACAACATGACTTGATGGTGCTCGTAGAGATAAATGATTTTTTTTTTTGTTGATTGATGTATCACTAAATCCTAAATGTTTTTTTCCTAAAAAGATCATTCACAATATTGAAAAAATATATTTTTGCAATTTATATACTTTTAAGTTTTATGTTGAAAATATCAAATGTCGATGGTTTCTAGACCGTAAATCATCTCTTATGTTTGCAATTCCATGTGGAACTATAATTCATAACCTTTCTCTTGCCACGGCACAATTTTAATATCTATCGAAGGTTGGCGGTAAAATTGTTGATGGAAAAATTTCATAAAATTATTTTACAAAAATACACTTTTTCAGTCGTAAAATTAGTTTAAATATATTTAAATTTAAACCGCTACTATCATAATTTAATAATAATCACTTAAATAAATTGTAATATAGAATTTTAAGTTTGTCATATATATATATATATATATATATATATATATATATATATATATATATATATATCTGTTATTTTAATATCCCACTTTTCCTTTTATCTAAAATATATTTTAAAATTTCCTTAAAAATGACAATGAGCGATTCAGGTTTTACGGGTCATTTAAAAAAAGTTTGCCGAAAAAAGTATAACTCAAGAGTGAATTAATTAAGCAAAAATATAAAAGGGATAATCTAAAGAGATTTCCTGAAAATATGTATCGAAAGATGTAAACGTATTAATGCACCAACTTTTCCAATAACTATTTTCCAATGATAAGAAAAAATAAAATACAAACCAAAATATTTTTTATGCAATAGATACATTCTAATAATTTTGTTTAGCAAAATTAAGCTCGATTTTTAGCTGCTAATTGCCAAAAATAATTGACCAAAGTTCATAGACAAAAACAAGCATCTAATTTATAAACAAATAAGTAATGTATTTATATACATACATATATATAGGGTAGAGGGGGGCTTAAAGGTCCCCGGGTAAAAACGTCGACCACCGATATCTCACAAGCAAATATGGTTAGAAATTTTTTAACAACAATATTTGAAAGTAGATGGGAAAAGATGTATAACCATCCATCACCTTGATTCTTTAGAAGACGTTATCAGGAGATAAACGGCATTGCGTTAAAATCCATAACAATCCTTTCGTTGATAGTTTTTTGGTTGTGAGCACTGTTGTTTAGTTTACGAGACCTTCACATAATTTTTAAGTATGCTTTATTTATTTGTTTTATGAGATTTATTGTTAATTTTAAGGTAGATGCAACAGTTCATTTTATATAACTTCTATAAAAGCTTACACCTGGGTGGGGTAAGAAGATCCAACTGAACCTTTACCCCGACAAAGGTGTAAACAATAAAAAATAGTAAATAAAAAAGTAAATTAAGTTGAAAAAAGCAATTTTGCAAGGAAAAAATTTATTAAATATTTATTCCAACTCTGCTGATGAATACCATATCAAGGTTATATACAGATATCTGGCGAAATACTAGATCAAGGTTATATACAGTTTTATTTCTGTCAAATATATACTCATGAAATTTATAATTTGCATTGGTTGAAAAATGTAGCTATTGTAAGTTGTAAAATCCCTTAAAGGTAAAAATAAGACATTGGACTAATTTGCCCCCGAACCAAGGTGTTTTTCTAAAATATTATCTTCTTAGAGATAAACAATTTTGATTTCCTTGATATGTACATTTTAAAAATGAAGGAGTTTATATGTGAACGCATGCAAACTTTGCCTGTTTCCAAAAATGTTTTCCTACTTTCCTCAAAAAATCTTAAATCGATTTTGAAATTCAGAAACCATTTGTGTTAGTTTTTTGGGGGGTATGGGTGTGGTGTTATGTATGAAAAATAATCAGCATGTAAAAAGATTAGTCAAAAATGTATTAAATAAATTAGTAATTTATGTTAAACTAAAGTAGAGAATCATTTTTGATAAATAGTTTTTGACAAATTTGCTACAACTAACTTGAATTAATTTGAATAGTTTTTGATTTGCTACAATTAACAGAATAAAAAAATTATATAGTTTTGAAAATTAAACTAATTCTTATTGATCAACTTGGTGATTTGCTTTAAGGCAAAGTGCCACTTCCTAGTTTCTCATTTATATGTTTTTTAAATTTATAGTCAATAATCATTATGCTGCTCAATAACCCGATAGATTCTATAAAAACGATCAATTACCTATATCTTAATGTATCTAATGTTTATTTACCATTTTTTATCAAAGGTCGTCGTATTTCTTCTATGAATTGGACCACAAAGAGTGCTACTATTATCTAATCGATTACAAAAAGAGTCGAGTGTGCTCTCGTACACAATATTTGGATGAAAGAAAAAGTGAGCTTTTGTTGATTTTATGAATAACTTATTTCATAATAAACTCTTGACACAGTTACAATAATAAATATATTCCTGTACAATTATACTTGTAGTTCTGTATTGTAAATAAAATATGAAAGTTTCTGATGAATAAAGAAGAATAATATAAGCAAAATTATGAAAAGTGCAATTGCTTAGACTCACACGTAATATATTATACAATAGTATTGATTGTTGAGATTTGTAATCTTTTATGCTGTAATAGGTACTTGTGATTTAAATGTGCTAGATTGATTTGAGCAGGGATTGACGATTAGAGGTCTTCATTTTTAATTGTTGTTCAATAAATCTGTAATCATATATAAATTAAAACAAAAAATATTTTTAAATAGGCATCTATCCTGCTAATGGAATAAAAATAATTATGTTTTTTAAAATTTTTTAATAATATTTTCATACCTTTCTGTCCTAGTTTGACTTTTCTTCAGTCGATAATCCTAAGACACATACATTATTTGTAAAACACAAAAATCACTTCAATGAAAAAAATATTTGAATAATGGTCATGTTAGTGAAAAATTAATATTTAATTTAAAAGAAAATTAACGTCAAACCACAACGTGGTGAAACTATTGACCTTAACTGTCCTGAAAAACTTTAGAAAAAAAATCTCTCGTTGTTTGGATATTATATGAGCTTTCAAGTGCAACCTAGAGCTTTGGTAAAATTATGACCAGTTTTCGATTATTGTTGTTAACTTTTATTAATTTTATTCATTTTAACTTTGAAACCGTAACCGTGAATAACATTTCTAGGACCACAGTAAAAAATACCACAATTGCCCCAAGTTTTCAAGAATTAAAACTTTTTGTTGAACTATGAATTAAAATTTTTTGAAATCAGTCGACTTTGAGAGTACCTCTTTGAAAAAATGTACTAAAGTGTTTTGGAAAGTTTTATCAAAATTTAATCAGGTTTGTGAAATGTTAGAATACTTGATAATTTTATTATTAAAAAATTTGGAGTAAAAAAATAAAAACCTAAGAATGACATGATTTATGCTAGTACATTTTACTTATATTTTACAGATATTTATTATTAATTTTATTTATAATCCCGTTTCGGCTTGTTGTTAAGGTCTGGGATACTCTGTATATTTATGCATATATATATATATATATATATATATATATATATGTGTGTGTGTGTGTGTGTGTACGTGTGTGTGTTTGTGTGTGTATTATGTTGAATTTCAAACAAGGAATCCAATAGGACTAAAAAACTAAGAAGATTTGAAAAAAAAATTATTCACTGTCATTTTTAAAAAATGAACTAACAAAACTAATTTGGTACAAAATACATAAATAAATGGATAATATCATAAAAAATGTTATTAATGAAATTTTTATTTATTATTATTATTATTTTAATATTTCTATATAATCTATTTTGTATCAATTACCATATGTTTGTGAAAGAATCGTATATAGTACAAATTCAAATATAGTATCAAGGAAAAAAACCTAATTATTTTTATAACTTGTATAATTTTAAAATAAAAAACAATTATAAAAGTTTGGAATCTTAATTTAATTAAATATTCTATAATTTAAAAGAATGATATTTTACCTAGTCGAATTATGAATCTAAGCAATTCTTGAATTAACTTATACAAAATCATCTTAAAAATAGGTTCAGAAATAATTAAATTTATGGGCCCTAAAAATATAAACGTTTATATGCAATAAGTATATATGCAAATATAATTTTATGTAATTGTTTGTGTTGTTTCTCTAATTGTGTTCATGCAAATTTTTAGAGTTTATCATAGACAATCGAAATGGAAATTGTATTGTTATTGCTAGTTTATTTATCTGATTATGTATCAATCACAGCTTTCGCCAATTAGAGATAAACATTATTTCATTTTTATCTTAATAATAATAATAATAATAATAATGATAAATATAGATATTGATAAGGAAAAAAATAATAATAATAACAATAAAAGCTGCCTGTCTAATATACTTGAAATTTATTGAATAACATATTTTAGATTAATTATAGATTTATCGTTAACTCTCAAAGAAACCGTTTTGAACTAAAAAATGGTAAATTTTATTAAATTAATGTTTTGTAAGATATTTAATTTTTTTGAAATAAATTGATAAAATCAATTTAAATTTTACATTTACTTTTTCCTTTGATGTTTTCTCACTATAAAAATATCTTTATATTTGTACTTATATAAATATTACTTATATTAGTAATACCTGAAAAATGACATTTTATCATTTCTTTTACAGGTGCTCCTAAAACCATGTGATGTGTTAATCCTGAATCTACTACTAGTCTAAACTATCTTCTAACCGTACTATAAAAAAATAATCAAATTCTTCAAAAATGGAAGGCCGTCCGAATATTTCTGAATATTACCGGAACAAGAATATTTTAGTCACCGGAGGTTCCGGTTTCGTAGGAAGTGTTTTATTGGAATCTCTATTGAGGGCAAGTGACGTCGGCAATATATACATACTTATCAGGGATGGACCCAAGGGTCAATCGCCTGCCAATAGGCTCAAAAGGATGCTGGAAAAAGAGGTTAGAGGATTTACGTCTTATTTATCGATACACAAAACACACCCATACATACATATATCATATAGGGTAGAACGGGGTTTAAAGGTCTACCACCGATATCTCAAAAACAAGTAAAGTTAAGAATTTTTTAACAACGATATTTGAAAGTAGAGGGCAAAATATGTATAACCAGTCTTTATCTTGATTCTTACGATATTGCTACCGATAGATAAACGGCAATGTTTGAAAATCCATAGCAAAAGTATTTTTTTTGGTTGGGTGGCGTCCATTAATTACAAGAGCCTTAAAGGGTGAAAGATGATTACAAATTACAAGATATTACGTAGGGCAGAGGGGCGTCTAGTAAGATATCACATGTATTTATTTTTTACCCCAATTTAAAAAAAAAATCCATTTTTAAATATTCAAAAATTTTACGATTTGTTCAAAAATCTTTAGAAATCGCTCACTTGATTAATGGACACTTGTTAGTTTTTGTGATTGTAAAGACTGTTGTTTAGATTGAGACCTAAACATAATTTTAAGTATAACGTATAAGTATACGTTATTTAAATGTTTTATAAGATGTATTGCTAATTTTGAGTTAGATTCAACAGTTTATTTTTTCATATAACATTTTTTAAAGCTTGCATGTGGATGGGGTATAAAGGACTATCTGAGCCTTTTCCCTGACAAAGGTGTAAACAATAAAAAATAGTAAATATTAAACTAAATTAAACTAATAAAAGCAATGTCATAAAAGATAAGTTGAATGAATGGTTATTCCAACTTCGCAGATGATTTTTTCTGACGGATTACCAGATCAGTCAAAAATTTACCCATAAAATTTATATTAGAAATTATTTCATAATTTTTTTTTTAAATCAAAAATAAGGACTATGGATTTGTTTGCCTGGGGGTACAAAGATCCAATTTGATTTGGAGCAATTATTACCCTCCGCTCTACCCTATATAGTTTTTATTTCTATGATTTTTTATTATGATTTCACCTTGTTTATAATTATTTCGAATGAAGAACTAGACATTGTAGAAGACGTAATATTTTCTTTACTATTAAATATGTAATTATGATTAATTTAATCTTAATTTTCTTTTAATGAATGATGATATGAATAGTGTGTATTTTCAAGCCAAATCCCAATATTTTTGTTTTCATTAGATAATGGTATAATATCAAACATTTCAGTACTATTTCATTGCATGGAAAATCTGCATGAATTGTATGGAATTTTTCTAACGTGTGTTTTAATGTGTGTAAGTTTGTGCGTGTCGTGTAATTAATTTTTTATTACAGGTGTAGCATATCATATGCTTGTATTAAATCTCTACACAATTTATGATTTATAATAAAAAATCATAATTAAATTTAAAATATTAAATCATACAACATACGCATGCTTTGTGTTATTTACTGGCTTTAAAACATTATTGCCATATTTATAATATATTATATATTTATTTTCTATTTAACATTGAAAAATAAATGATTAGTACCTTTTTTGATTAATTTATATAACCGATGTCTTAAATGATTGACTAAATATAACTTATTTTTCAACAACGAAAAAATAGGTGATAAAAAATTTAATCAAATTCGACTAAGGATTTCTTTTGCATATTATCTTCTGATTATAATTAATTCTTTAACTTCCAATTTATTATTCGTTTGATTGATTCAAAATTATTTTTAACAATGGAAATTAAAATAAGCTAGTATTATATAGTAAAAAAATTGTTTCTTTTAAGGTTTTTAATTTGAAGTCTTATCACAAAACTAAATCAAGTCTTGTCACTAAATCAAGTATCAGAGTGATTTACAGTAAAAATATAATAAAAAATTAAAAGGCATTAAATATGAAAAAGTTAAGTAATAAATAAAAAAATATAATAATTACCAATAATATAGAAAAATATAATAGTAATAATCGTGGTCGTGAAATAAGTCACAAGATTTTTTTTTTGATCTATTATATAAGAATAAATAAATCATTTTTTATTTACAGCTATTCTTTAGACAAACTGAAGAATCATTGCAAAAATTGGTAGCAGTAAGAGGTGATATTTGCGAGCCAGGTCTTGGACTGAATAACTCGTAAGTTGGATTGAATAAAAAACATTACAATAATTCATAGTTATATTTCTTAGTGATTGTAAAATTGTAGAGATCGAGAATTATTATTAAAATCTGTTAATATTGTATTCCACTGCGCTGCCACAATTAACTTCAATGCAAATCTGGATGCCGCAATCAAAGCTAATTTGCTTGGCACCAAAATTTTGCTGGATTTCTGCAAAAAGATGACAAACATTGAGGTAAGAAATATAACTAAAAATATAATTAACTAACTTAGTATCTTATCGTTAGTATATTTATTAGCATCTCATGATCATGGTAGTATATTTATCAAAGAATATTTTTAGCTAGCAATATTATTATTTATGTTAATTTCAATTTATTTAATATTAACAGAAAGTATGCTTAGTATTATCATCGCTCGTTCTGGAAATTTCTTTTAGTGACAAAATTTTAATATAAAATTTGTAGAAAAATTGTAGATTTTTTTTCTTCTTCGAAAACAAATGACACAACCGTACCCAGTCTCCCCTACTATGTTTTTATATTATATAAACAAATCTACATTTACTATGATTCTTTCATATGATGAAAAAACTAACGCAAAAACAAGTTACTGCAAGTAATAAAGCAAATCGTGTCAATGTTGTATCGAATGCGTTTCGAATAAGTTATTATTAAGCGCATTCATTCAGGGCTTGTGATCTCGATTAAATATTCAAGATTACGTTATTTGTACGTATTAAGAATTTTAAATTCTTCGAAATAAAAATTCAGTTCACGTTTATTGCTTGTGCTCATAAAAATATTTGAGTTATTTATATACAGCACGACTACTCATCAAATTGTATGAAGAGTTACTGGAACAATTGAGGAGTACAAGAAGTAGATCAGAGTGCCAAAATTTATTTGTAGTTAATTTTAAATGCATGTAAAAAACGAAATTTAAGCAAAAAACTGAAATCTTGCGGATTTGGATTTTATTTCACTATTTTTTTTGTTGATGAAGGCATACATTAGAGGGCTATTTAAAAAAAAAAAACAAATTAAAGAATCGTACAGAATACAATATTTCAAAATACTATGTTTTATTAGGAAACATATATAGTCCAGTGATTATAGTAAGTTCACCTCGGAATTCGAGATACCCAGCTGTAAGTCTGTTAATACTTGTATATTGACACCCTAAAGGTGTCTCAAAACCTACATATGGTATTGACACCCTAACATATGTAGGTTTTGAGACAACTTTAGGGTGTCAATATACAAGTATTTACAGACTTACAGCTAGGTATCTCGAATTCCGAGATTCTTACCTAATTTAGGCTTAAATGACTGAAGTAATATTGCTATTCATGGATTCAAATCTCGGATAAAATAGAAATATAATATTACGGGTCGTATGAGTTGGTAGTCACAAATTGCCAACAAACTATGGCTTTCCTGTTCGATCGAGCGTTTTACACATAAAACCTAACCTCCAAAAGGCACACACGTCACGATATTAACTTTAGTTAGACTTTATGTATGTGTTATCAAAGTGACAACAGAAAGTTGCGAATATGATAAAATTGTTATAAGCAATTGTGATTTTTGGAGGTTAGGTTTTAGAAGCAAATTCAAAGTGAAACGATGGATCGCACTGCAAAGACACAAATTTTTGACAGTTTGTTACTACCAACTCACATGATTATAGACCCAAAACATAACATTTTTATTTTCCGAGAATTGGCCTCTATATTTTCAAGTGTAGGAACCACCGGTGACACCAAAATACCACCGACGATGCCAAACATGTATGTTGGTTCTTCATGCGCTAAACAAACTATATTACTAAAGCTGTGGAGATCAGTAAAACAGATGAAGACTTTTGATGTACTTGTTTATTTTATAACTTTTGGTGCACTTTGCATATAACTTGAATAACTGAACTTAAATATAACTCCATTGATTAGTAAAGTATTACTGACTCATATTGATCTGAACTCATACTCGTCTTAACTCATCCTGACCGTTTATTGCATCATTCAGAGGCTTAAATACTAGCTCTCTCAGGATATGTTCTACATTCCTAGTTAACAATGATTTACGACTTTGTTTACTTGTTCTTTGAGTATTACAAAGTAACAACGGTTTTACGGTTAGAAAGCCTTGGAAAAGTCCGTTATTTCTGAGCATGTGTTGTGCTTATCTCGAGGATACACTGTAATAGCATGAGCAATTCATTACTACTGCGTAGTTTGTATTCTGACCGTTACATAGTAGCTTATAATATTATTTATAATTATTACAAATAGGTAGATTCCCCTAGCATAAGTTATAACCGATTTCGTTATACTGCTTGACATCATGCAGCTCGAGGCAGTTGTCGAAACTAAGACATCTGATACAAAGCCCATAGCTCATACCACTTACTCGCCGACCACTTATATCGTAATTAGTAATGTTCTTGTAATAACCTAATTTCTGAAATAAAAAAAAATATCATTCAGTGGTAGAAAATAAAGATAACTATACTTATTTCTTCATAATTGAGTAACATCGTTTTGTTTATTTTTCCAGTCATTTTTATACCTATCAACCGCTTTCTGTAATTCACCAGAGAAGGGAACAGTATTGGAGAAAATATACCCAGCGGCCGCGTCTCCTAATACGGTTTTGAAAATTTTGGAAAATGTGCTGGAAACTTCAGAGAAAAACGGATATCACGAAACGGAAGTGAACGCTAATGGACCTGTTGTCAAGAAACCTGCCAAAAACAGTAATGGAAAAATGTCTGAAGAAGAATTAAAACTATTGGAGCGCGATATAGAAAAAGTTGTTAGAGGTGAATTAAAAAACAATATGGAAAATTTTATGAGTTGGATGAAATTTGAATTAAAATAGCCCCTATAATTCTATTTTATACTTATATCTTGATATCCTGAACTAAATAGTTGTAAATATATATGTGAAAAAAAACTCTTATTGTTAAACCTGAGTTAGCATTATTGATATAAGCAAATTTATATTAAAACTTAAATAAATTTAGATAATTTATAGTTTAAGAATTATAATTATTACCAATGTTTTACCGCTAAATCGCTACTAATTAATAATAAAATAAAATTTAATAGTTTTTCGTTGTAGAATTAGTGGTCATCATATCTCAGGTAGTCAAATTTAAATCCAATCGTACCTAACACAAGAAATCGAAATTTTCACTAATTTTAATCAAAGGGTTCTTGCTTAGATAAATTTTAGATTGATGTTATTGATTCATAAATTTGCTATTATTTTAGAAACTGGAGTTTTTGACCCAAGCAAAGGAAGTCCATCACCAACTTGGGATATGGTACCACATCTTGGAGGACATCCAAATGCCTACACATTCACCAAGCAATTGGCCGAAGCACTTTTATTAGAAGAAAATTTGAAATTTCCTATAGTAGTTGTCAGACCAAGTATTGGTGAGAACTAATTTATTTATTGAACTAAGCAACATATTTTGTAAAAACTGGTCTAAAATGAATTTTCTGCATTTTAGTATTAGGCACACTTAAAACTCCGTTCTCAGGATGGATCGACAATATTAACAGTGGTGTTTGCGGATTTTTAGCCGGTTGCACCAAGGGTAATTGATATTTGTGTGAAATTTTAATAGTTTAAGTAACATTTTAAGGATGTTGTATATTTTTATATAGATTTTGTAATTTTGAAACAATGGAAGACGGAAGCGCAAGTTTTTTTCAGCTTCTTCAAGTGGTTGTCTAATTCAGACTTATTGATCTTATTTTCTTAAAATCTATTTGTATTTACTCATCATTTGCTTTAGCTGTTGAAATTTCTTGGAGTTCTCATCTAATTTTAAACTAATAAAGAAATATATACTTTTGAATAAATAATAACTCTTACAAATTAGTCTAAATGTGGGACTGGTCTGAATTGAAATTCATGAAAATAGTTATGTATTTATTTATTTATTTGACCCCAATCGGTGTAAGCAGTTTGAATATAAGACTGAATTTAAATTTAAAGTTTAAATTGAAGAATGTAAAAAAATGTGATATGTATTTTTGAATAGTTCAAATATATTTCTTATAAATCATACAATTAATCCACTTAGAATACATTTACAAAATATGATTGTTAAAACATGTAAATTTCAAATTTAAATAATTTTAACACCTAATTATTTATCCAAAAAGATAAAAAAAATAAATATGTAAATATATATATGTCCATATGTTACCATGCAATTGCTTATCTATTAGTCAATTACTCAACACTTATTACTTCTACAACAAATATGAATGAATAAATCGTTACATATTGATCATAAATATTAATTTAATATTTAGTTTACTAATATTTTATATATATTTCAGGTATTTTTCGAACAGTTTTGGCTTCTGGTGATAAAGTATCTGATATAATACCATGTGATTTTGTAGTCAACATGTGCATTGCTTCTGCCTACAAATCTGCTGTTACTAAAACTCCTGTTGAAGTTTATCATTGCACTTCTGGTAATATATTTGTAATAAATAATGATAATAATCCGTCTTTGAGTACTGGTAAAAAACGTGCAATCCATAGTCAAAGGCTCGATCCCCACATCAGCAATCAATATGATATCAGATTCTGACTTGGGAACATAGATATATTCAATATTAAACTTCCCAAAGGAGAAGTTTATGTTTATTACTGTTACTTGGAAGGATTGCATTGATATCATTATTTAAATTGGTTTAAATACTATCAATTACTGTTATTTTTATATTTTTCAGGTTCCACAAATCCAATAACTTACGAAAGGTACATAGAACTAGTCGTGAGGGCTGTCAAAAAATTCCCGAGTAAAGAATTGTTCTGGTATCCTGATGCCAGGATAAGATCAAACAATATTCATTCTAGGATTAATTTGATTTTGTGCCACGCAATTCCTGCTCGATTGGTCAGAGGTGTCGAGAAGATTCTTGGGAGAAATCTAACAGAACCTCAGTAAGATATTGGTTAAATAAAAAAATAATAAAATACTTTTAATAAAATTTTATTTTTGACTATTTAATATTAGTGCAGTAGGTTTTTTCACATTTACAAGTATCTTATTATTTTTTAGTATGGTGATTGTTCAGGGCAAATATGACCGTGGAATGAATCGTACCAGGGCATTCACCTTCAGAAATTTTGATTTTAAGTACGAAAATGGTACAAAATTGGAAGAATTTTTGACTCCTGAAGATAGAGAAACGTATTCGTTTGATCCTAAAGAGATTTATTGGCCACGTATTATTGAACAATGTGCCAGAGGCGTTCGAGACTATTTCTTCAGGGAAAGATGTGATGGTGGCGATGGATTGAGAAGGTATTTATTTATTTTATATTAATTTTGATTTTTATTTAATCACAAAACTGAAAAATTTAAATTAAAACGTTATATTACATTAAATAAAATTATATTAACATGTAATTTAATTTTACATGGAAGTAAATGAAATTATACTATAATTTTATTAATGATATCAATTAATATATCAGTATATTTATTACACTTATAAAGTGTTTTAATTAAATTGAACAATGATTTAGTAATGATATTTACTTTATCATGTAACATTTTTCGATGCAATGTATTTGCTGTGCAGTCGTCAGGCGTTTTAGATGCAAAACCCAACCTATAAAAAGCACAATCGCCAAAAGTGAATGTTAGCATAACTGCATTTTTTTTATGTGCCATGGTAACACATACGTGAAGTTAGGTTTCATGTGTAAAACGCACAGCAAGTACGTAAGATTTTTACAGTTTTATTCGTTTTTATACTAAATAATAATTTGTACCGAGTTTGTTTTATTATTAGATTTTTTGGTTTGTCTTACAATTAAATTATTGCAGCTCCATCTTCATGATTATCTTGTAAGTTTATCAAACTGGTCTTATCACTTTATCAAACAGGTTTGAATAAGAGAAAAAAATTGTATAATTTAATATGTTATAATAGAAATATAGCATTAGAAATTTAATTTATTTTACAAGCGATTAACAACAGTCAATGAATAGAGTTTGGCGTTTTTACTTCAAAAATTATTATCGGCGAAGATAAGTAATTTTATATTTATACGATCATTATTAATCTCATTATTTTGTTCAGATTTTATGATATGTACTTAATATTTCATATATTTATTATCTTAATTCTTAAAATATATTCAAGATAATATACTCAAGAACTCTGAATCTTGCTACTTACATGATGTAGAATTTCATTCTCCATCATGTGGGGATATAGCTCAGTGGTAGAGCATTCGACTGCAGATCGAGAGGTCCCCGGTTCAAACCCGGGTGTCCCCTAACTTATATTTTTTAAATTTTATTACATTATTTTTATTATTAGTACTCCTAAAAACAGATTTTTTATTTATTTATTGTAATGGCGTCTGATAAAAGCAGATTTATGGTATACTTCTTACCTCCGGACTCCTTATTCTTTTTTTTAAATTCTAGATCAGAATACGATCTAGAATTTAAAAAAAAAAACACTTTTTCTTAACTTCCCGAAGGAGAAGTTTATGTTTTTTTTGATATTTTCAAAGTTTATTTTTTCAAAAATGTGTGTGCAAGAGAATTTTTCAAAATTTAAATTATTTTCGGTGATATAGCTGTTGAGCTCGACAATACTCCTCTATTTACTTCCTTCGCGAAACTTTAAACACTTTTTTCTCGAAACTGTCTTTTCTATACGATACCCACGATTTCCCAACTTTTACTAGACCGATTTACTTGAATTCCTACAGGGTCTTCTTTACAGACTTTTCTTCAGTATGAACTGATCTTCAATTTTTTTCTTCCGATTTTTACTATTTTCAAAAAATTCGAGAGTATGAAAAAAAAATATAAATTTTTTTTATACTGTATTTTGTGGAAAATAAAATTATCTCGTCCGTAGTTCATAGGATTGTGATATTATACTAGATTAATAAGAATTACGGTTATTTGAAGGGCTAAAATCATGAGATTCATGAGTATGGTCAGGCGCGGATTTTTTAAGACGCCCTACTTTATTATCTTCTAGAATTAAAATTTTATGACTATTTTAAAGTTTTTATTATCAAAACATTAATTTATAACTTCTAAAAAATATTTGGTAAAAATATTGTTTTTTTACGGACTTCCAAAAATCGCATAAAATTCATGACTAGTCCAGAATTGACCAGAATCATGGATCGTCTTCGCTTTTATATTGACAATTTCTTTTTCGATTATAGTAATCTGTTAGTCTAGTCATTTGAGCTTAAATTAGATAAGAATCTCGGAATTCGAGATAGCCAGCTGTAAGTCTGTGAATATGTACTTGTATATTGACACCCTAAAGTTGTCTCAAAACCTACATATAGTGTTGGACTTACAGCTGGGTATCTCGAATTCCGAGGTGAACTTACTGTAATGACTGGACTATGTATGTATTTTCTAACTTTGATTGATTATAAAATTTTATAGCAAAAAATGAAAAAAGAGCCTGTCTTCAGCTCTGTATTTGCTCTTTTCATGCCCATCATTTGCATTTTTCTTTGTCCAAGTCCTTTTGGTCCCTATATTTTTTATGATGAAGACACTCTTTTTCCATTCAAGCTCCGATCCTGTTCTCTTTTTTTATCGTTACAATGTACAGTAAAATATGTAACACAATTTTAGTCATAATTTTGTCAAATATTGCATTATTTTCTACTTTATACATGTCTTCTATGAATTTTCTAGCAAGTTACAATGACCAGTATGAATTTGATTGACCTCCAAAAGATTTACATCACTAATATAGTACAAATCTTTTGGAGACAATTTTTTCAGTGTTTATAAATTGGGCAGTTTATAAGTTTGTAGAAAACTATGAAATTAATTATTTTTTTAGAGCTCAAAAGCATTTTGTGGGGAATCAAGGAAGATCAAACTACAGCAATGCTCGTTGAATACTCTGGCTAATTTTTTAAAAGGGCGCCTATATTTTTATTGATTTGGTAGTTTTGATAATTGGATTTAATCGAAGGTTTTGCCTTGGAGTAACGAATTTAATCTTTTTAGCAGTTCTGGTGATTTCATAACGCCGTTCAACAATCTCATGAAAAGTCCTTAATCTTAATGCTTCTCCGGGCGACAAAACTGTTGTTTGTTCTTTTCTTAAAATAAAATTGGTGCTTTATTCTCTCAATTATGTACACAATTTTTGCATAATTAAGTGTAACATATATCTTTCTAATATTAATTATAATTATTTTATTTTCAGAGCTTTGGTGGTACACACATTGTTCTACGTGTTCTTCTTCTTTGCCATGAAGGCGTTGTGCGTCTATCTTTTAGGAACTTTAGGTTTAGAAATTTCTGATTGGCTGCTTTTTGGATTAGCTGGAATTTTGACTTTGGCTTATCATGAACTCTGATAAATTAAAATAAATCATTCTTTTGAAAATAATTTATGAAAACCATATTTTATTTGTTTTAATAATATCACAATAATGTCTTCATAATTAGGATTATTGACATTGAAATCATCATGTGCGAGTATGTTTATAATTTATGTCATATAGGATCTTATATCATAACTTAATTATTTTATTATTGTTAACACTGTTGTCTATTGATAATTATAAATTACTAACATGCGTTATGAAAATATCCTTATTTGCAATGATATTGTTCAAAATTATCTGAAAATATTCACCATGACTATTTTTTATTTCTCAACGTTGAATAGAATGAGATTGCATTTAGGCGCGACATTTAAAATACTTAGGCGCAATCCTTAATTGTTCGAATTTTTTAAACATTTTTTTCATTATTTTTATTATTACTTTTATTACTTTAATCAATATAGTAAACGACGACTTTATTCTAAAAATTAACGGAACCGTTATTACTTATAATAAATCATAACTTTTATTATCATTGGCTAAAAATATCATTTAAACTTCATATTTTTTATTTACTAGATATTTTTTTATTATTTCATAATATTTAAATTATTGAAAAATATATAATTATTAAAAAAATGTACATGAACAAATTATTATCTGAAAATATATTGTTATTGGTTACATGTGAATGTTGGTAAAGATTTATAATTTATTTAATAAAAAATCTAGAAACTGTTGATTTTTTTGTTTTGTTATTTTCAGTTTTCATATTTTTATTTTTATTTGACATTGTTACAATTTTTTCGGGAAGGGATTTTTTTGTATATTTTTATTTTTTTTACATTTTTGTAGCAAAATGGGTGACACCACTCCTACATATAAATGTGTTTTGATAGGTGATGGAGGAACCGGAAAAACCACTTTTATTAAAAGGCATATAGCAGGTATTATAGATGTAACTTTATATGATATCTAATCAGAGAAAGTATTAAATGTTTGTGAAAATAATTAATAATAAATTATCATTGAAAGCATTTATATAAAATGCATATATTCATACTTTTAATGATGAGCTATTGACAAAGATTATTTGTCATTCAATCTATTAAATTGATTTATTTTAGAGAAACTCTGTTAATAATAGTAATTTCAACATAAAGATTGTATTACAAATTCAGAAAATTATGAAAATGTTTAATAAAAAAATATGGCTCATATTACAAGCAAATATGTTTTTGTTAATGCATAACTATTAGTCTTGGAGTACTATTTAATATCTTTAATATTTGAGCTTTATTTTTATTAAAATTGTGAACTAAATAAAAATAAAGAATTATTAAAAATTTATCAATCTTTCCTTAATTATAACGTTTACTTGGCAATACAAGTTGGAATCGAAACTCTTTTTTTAAATTATAAAGGATTTTTGAAGACTTTTAATTGTATAATGAGTATAATGAATATTATATGTATTTTAAAATATTTTGTTTAGGTGAATTTGAAAAGAAGGTTATTGCAACAGCAGGTGCCGTAGTTTATCCAATTGTCTTCAAAACTACAAGAGGCCCTATAAGATTCCACGTTTGGGATACTTGTGGCCAAGAAAAGTATGGTGGTGTCAAACAGGATTTTTTTGAAAAAGGTATTAAGAAATTTTAAATCTTTGATTGGAAATATTTGGTGGCTTACTGGTTAGAGCTATGGACTTTGAATCTGAAGTTTCAGGTTCGATATTCGCCTCGGGCAGCCTAATGCCAAGCAGCAGTGACATTCATTTTGAAGTATAGATAGCAATACGTTTCCAAGTAATATAATAATAGCAAAATTAATAAAATTACCTGGCATTGCTGCATCGAAAAAAATCATCGGTCTTAGATAAATCGTAATATAATTTCACTTTGAAGTATAGCAATACGTTTTCTAATAGCAAAATTAATAAACTTACCCGGCATTGCTGCAACGAAAAAAAAATCATCAGTCTTATATAAATCGCAATATAATTTCACTTTGATGTATAGATAGCAATACGTTTTCAAATAAAATAATAACAGCAATATTAATAAAATTACCCGGCATTACTGCATCGAAAAAAATAATTAGTCTTTTATAAATCGTAATAAAATTTCATTACATAGAGATAGGACAACCATTTGGGTTGCCATCTGTAACCGTTTAAGAAATCAGCACAACAGCTAATATATTAGAACTTAAGAAGTCTTATAAGACTTCTTAAGTTCTAATTGCTGTTAGAACAAAATTATGGTGCAGTTATTAATTTTCAAGAAAAATACTTAATCTTTTGTTAAATTGAACGTTTTTTAAATATTTTGCATACAAAAATGATGATTATTATTTTTTTTAATAATCTTAATTAAGTGTTTGAAGAACTGTAACATAAAGGATATGCTGTGAAAGAAGTAAATAATATTAGTTTTATAGTCCATTTCTCAGAAAATTGGGCTCAAATAAAATTATCAAATTATGAAATATTTAATTTTTTAATTATTCTTAGGCTTTTATATAATAGTTTTTGGCAATGTTCCCAATTTTCGTTCATGCTAATAAACTCAAAAACTATTTGAGATTTACTACGCTAAACAACTATGATAAAATTATAAATTAGAAATTTTATCTAATGATATTAATGCGAAAAATGACTCTTTACTAAAATTTTGATATCAGTTTCTGTTTTGTTTCTTTTAATTTTTTCACATCTACAATTGTGCTATAATTGTAGATATTGGGCAGAAAAGCAGTTCAAATAGTACAAAATAGGAGTACTTAGTAGACCAAATAATATTTTTATCTATAAGTTGATGGTTCAAAAATAATTCCAAAAATTATTGTAATACAGTCTATTGTTATTATAACATCTTCATATGCATATTATAATATATACAAAATTTATGCATATTTGTCAATGTTTTAACTAGTTTTATTTCTTTGCATCCGGCATTGCAGCTGTTAATTTGCTTGTTTTTGCTTTAATGTTCTACTACACTCACATTGGCCCAATTTCCCTTAATTATCATTACGCGACAAGTTTCTAATTATAATTATTAACCATTTATTATTTCTATTAGGTGATTGCGCCATTCTATTTTTCGATTTGACATCTAAAATAACCTACAAGAACATCATGAAGTGGAACACCGAAATACTGCGATTTTGCCCGTGCATTCCTACTGTTTTGTGCGGCAATAAGGCTGATTTGAAAGAGAGGAAAATGAAAGCTAAAAGTGTTATGAATCATAAACAAAGAAATATGCAGGTATATTGATTATATAATATGTTATTTATAGCAGAGTTAGAGTTAGCCATAGTAGAAACGTGGGTTACCAACGAGTAGTTGTGGATTCGATGCCACCTTGGCCAGCTTAATAAAGATCAGTAGTGATATCAGAGTTTCACTTGAGGTTATAGATCTGAAATATGATATCAAGTGAAAATAGCATTTCAAGGCATTGATGTGGAATATATTTACAACACTATTAAATATATATCTAATATAATTTTATTCAAAAAGACAGTGGTCAACTACTAGATTGCCTTCTAAAATATCAGGTTAAGGATTGTTATACTAGAGTACATCGTGATGTAATACTTTGGGACCCCAAAGGTAAAAAAAGAGTGCGCGCAAGGTTCACACGCGATTGAAGTAAAACTCATTTGCTACTGTACAAGATGGCATTTAAGTGAAAATCAATACATCATATAACAATTTTGAGTTATGTTTATTATTAATATGGTAACACTCGTGATGCACACATTTATTAGTGTCAATCATCATACACATTTATATGATAATGTAGTTAAAGTCATACTTCGAATATGACATGATCGGTTTGTCATTGTAATCAGCATTTAGAAATAATATAGAAATAATTTCTATGAAACAGAGTAAAATATTTTTCTGATTTAGGCATTTTTCATTAAATCAAGATTTGTACTACAATGTAATGTTGTCATTATCGGTACGCATACAACGTTGATGCCGGTACACATACAACGACAGATCTCTATTCACATACACGACGACTAATCACAATCGAGCCGTGTAGAAATGGTCTCATCGAAAGCGAATGACGAACTGTTCGGGCGTAACCGACTTCCGTTGCATTTATACGTATTTACATTCTAGTCGCGCCTAAAGAAGTTTTACTTCAAAAACAAAATATATTGAAAATCAAAATTTATCCAAAAATAGAGTAGAATATGCAGAACTACTACATACGTTTGTTTTCAGTCAATTCTATTAATCAATGTATGAAATTTTAATTAACTCATATTAATTACTAGAAAGTGGGAATTAAACGATGTTAAATTAAATAATTACAGAGACTAAAATTGCTGAAACTATATTTTTATAAATGCCTTCTAAGAAATGAAAAGAAAGTTAGTATGAATGACAAGATTATCTTTTAGGCCTCTATAAACTTATGCATTTTTAAAAATAAAAAACGATTTTATAAATTCGCTTAAAATTGAAACCATAACCCAAGGAAGTTTAACAAAATCGACGGAACTTTAAGTTTATAAATATATTTATAAAATAAATTCACATGGCTACTTGTGTGTACGGTTGTCCCTTATAGACGACATCCAGTATGACTACCCTTGTTTCAATAAAGTTATTTATCACTTTGAGTTAAATTATTCAAAATTCTAATTTGCTGTAATAGTTTTTAGTCTGTCAGAAGTGCAATTTTGAAATACAATTTTATTGAAAATTATTGGAAAATCTTGAAATATGTTGTAGTGCCTGGGTTGATCGCTGTCTTGTACAGCAGTGATTCTCATGCGGACTACCACAGGGTGACTACCACAAGGGTCAATAATGTTATTTATTACTGAGTTAAATTATTGAAATTTATAATTTTTTGTTATAGTTTTCAGTCTTTCAGAAACGCAATTTTGAAATACAATTTTATTGAAAATTATTAGGCAATCTTGAAATATGTTGTAGTGTTAGGTCTGGTACTGGATTGATCGCTGGCTCGTACAGCAGTGACTTCTATGCTGAATACACTCTTGTTGCAAAAGGGTGTTACAACTTTTATACAAATCCTGTCAAAACGTTTATACCAATTCTCTATTAAGAAACCAGAGTCTCTGCTTGCTTATATTGACCAGACCAGACCAGGCAGGTCTGGTACTGGATTGATCGCTGGCTCGTACAGCAGTGACTTCTATGCTGAGTACACTCTTGTTGCGAAAGGGTGTTACAACTTTTATACAAATTCTGTCAAAACGTTTATACCAATTTCGTATTAAGAAACCAGAGTCTCTGTTTCCTTATAGACTTTTTTGTTATAGTCGTATAAAAAATATAAATTTTTAATTATTTTTTTCTAGTATTTCGAAATATCAGCGCGGTCGAATTACAATTTTGAAAAGCCGTTTCTTTGGCTGGCTCGATTATTATTTGGAGACGCTAGCCTGGTATTTTTATCATCTGCGATTTTAGCACCTCCTGATTTTTCGATGGACATCCATTGGAGACAAAAGATTGAAGCTGATTTGTTGCAAGCACGGCAAGAAGCAAACGCTAATAACCCATCTTGAGTTTAATCTAAGATTTTTGTTTTAAATTATGTAAGTAGTTTAATTTAAATTATATAAGTATGTAGTTAAATTATGTAAGTAAAATATGCTGTGATGTTATGTTATATATTTATTTAAATTACATGTATATTAGTTAATTTGTTTTTAATGGTTAGTTGTACATCTGAATTTACTACTGTTGTTTTTAATAACGCAATGATTACTAGTTTTTTAGTAATCATTAAAGCATTAGTATTTTTTTTTTTATAATTTACATTATTTATAATAAGGAGTGATATGAATCAAAGCATATCCCTTTATTTTGAATTTATGCTGACTGATTTCTTAAAAAAGTTATATCATTTTTTGTTTCAGTCTCAGATTAAAAATAATTTTTTTTAATAGACATATTTTCCAAAATAAAACTATAATTGTGGACACACATTTCCTGTTCAATAAACATGAAATATTCTACTTTTCATGCAATTTTGTGAACAAGATGGGCGATGAAGCGTTTATTAAAATAACACAGTTAACACTTAATAATAAAAATAGTTTCTACTGGACGTGCGACCATTTCTGATACTAATTTTTACAAATATATATTTTGAATTTTGAAATTTTGTTTCGGGCTAATATTCCAAACTTTGATAAATTTTATGATTAAACCACTATTCATAAGCCTATAACATTTCTCAATTTCGTTGTTTTGTTCGGCAACGCCGTCAAAATAATTTTTTCGACTACTAATTACTCCAACATCAAATCGATCACCAATGGGTGACCTTTCGACCTTTTTCCTTTATCGAATAAACCATCAAAATGTAAATAAAAAAAGGACTACTAATTATGAAGAAACGGCTCGGCTATTTTTTACCGAAAACTTTATTAGAACGATTTCCAGCTTAATTCGCTATCGAACGGTCTTTAAATTGACAAAATCGGTTCAGATTTTACGAAAATTTATTACTTTCTTTAGTGATTAAAAAAATGTCTTCGCCGATCGTCTTGTAAATATAATCGTAGTGAGTTCTCATAGAATTTTATTATTTTTGAGGTCTGAAAAAAAAAATACAAATCGTTGAAATTAATTTAGATAGATATATTTTGGTTGTTGGTATTTTGATCCAGACCAATATTCCAAACTTTGATGAATTTTTATAATTAAACCACTTTTTGTAGGTATATAAGATTACACAAAAAACTAAATTTTTGTCGATAGAAAATTAATATCATTTGAACAGAAAAACTTAATAGCATAGAGAAAACTATTCTAAAAACTAGTGGTGATGGCATCGTGCCTTAAAGCAAATTGCTGGAACTTTCCGTACCAAAAATTAAAATTTTTCAAAAAGATTTCCGAAAAGAAGGATCTCCGAAACCGCTAGGCCTGTCTATTTAAAATTTTCATCAAATCTACATTTTGTCAATACAAATAAAATGTTTTTTAAATCACTAAAATCGGACGCTCGGTTCTTTCCAAAAATGAATTACTTTTTTTGGAACTTTTTGCCCCGTATTTTCGGAATGGCGGAACTTGCCTTTGCCAAAATCTTATCTCCTTATCAATAGAAATAGAATGTTTTTTGAATCATTTAAATTGGTTGACGCTTGTTTTCGAAATTGTCGACGAAAAATTGTATCCGCACATACATCCACACACGCACACGCTCACACTCACACACACAAGATGAAAAAGATGAGTATAAAATCAAGTTAAGAATTATAACATTCTAGATCCTTCCCCCACGAAGTAATGCCTAACGGCGGTTTCCGTGGGGACCAGAGGCAAGGGCAAAGCGGAGATTTTAGTCGGTATTATATTAAGTCGACATACCCAGACAAAACACCAGTCTTCGCTAGACAACAATAAACAAAAAAAAAAAACACACACACACACATACACACACACATATAGTTTTTCTGAGGTATGCCAAAATGTTCCGAAACCTTTGAAATGTAAAAATTTTCATTTTCGATTTTTTTGTGATTACTATAACTAACTCTACGGGAAATTAATAAATGTTAAATGACGTTTTCAATCAAATACGCTTAGGGTTAATATTCAAAATGAAAAGATTACAAAGTTGCCGCCAAAAACTATAGAAAGTAGTACCGCCTGGCACGCATGTAAACCTGTTTACAACATCACACAACTTCGCACCGCTTCATTTACATTCATATAACCCGCAAGGATAATTACGAAACATCGATTAACTCGTTTAATTGCATATTAATGTACTTGTACGGTACCGATAATTGATTAAATCGTTAATATAATTTTCCATTAATTTAATTTCAAATTCGGCACCATTAAATACTATTTTCTGTCAGTAGTGGCAGCACCATTCCGCGTCCATGTTCATGTCACTAGTTGATCAGATGTTCTGAACTCTTATGCATGTTGCTTGTGCAAAGTCATTTGTGAAAACTAGTTTTACCACTGTTTGGTATTTCTGAGACGAAATAAAATCAAAACATTTTACGCATTAATTTTATTTCATAAATGCAGAACGTTTCCTTGTTATATAATTATTGAAGTTTGCAGGTTGAAAATTGAGGTTATAATTGTGTTTACGTGTCAAATTGTTTTGGAAAAATGCCGGACAGCGAACAGGTAAGTTTTTTTTGTTAATTTTTTATATTTACAAGAACTATTTTATTAGTAACATTCGGCTAATGATTTTCTATAAAGCTATGTTGTTAGTAATATTGTTGTCAAGTATTTTTTGATGGATTAAAAAGTCTTGCAAATGTTGTTTATTAGAGATTTCAAGTTTATTAAGTTGCTTTCTTGTAAGTTATAAACAATGTATAAATGGTTTTAATAGTTTATAATAATTATTGAAGCAAATAATAGGGAAATGCTTTTATTATTCATTGAATTAAAAGTTTATTAATTTCTTGGAATAAGTATTTATAGTTTTTTGAGTTTGACTTATATAGTTTGTAGTTGAGGAACTGTAAATAATAAAACAGCCCTTTGATTTAATTTAGTTATACGATAACTAACCTTTTAGTTAATTTTTTCCCATTACTGTGCTTGATTCATGCATTTTTATTTACTTCCAGTAGGGTATGTTCGCAAAAAAAATGAAAATGTATTTTTTACATATCTTTACGTTTCAAAGCCCTCTGAACATTTTGGCATACCTAAGAAAAAAATGATGTATGTGTGTGTGTTTGTGTAGGTATGTATGTATATCTGTGTGTATGTACATATGTACAGATACAATTTTTCATCGACGATTTCGAGAGCACGAATCAACCGATTAGAATGGTTCAAAAAACATTCGATTTCTATTGATGGGAAGACGTGCTAATTAGTTTTGGTAGAGACAGGTCTAGCCGTTTCGAAGATACGGGGCAAAAAGTTCCAAAAACGGTAATTCAGTTTTTGATAGAACGATGTACTCGATTTGAATGATTCAAAAAACATTTTACTTGTATTGATGAAATGAAGAATTGATAACATTTTTGGTGAGGCAGGTTTAGCGGTTTTGGAGATACAGAGGAAAAAGTTAAAAAAAAGATATGCCTAATGATCATTTTTGACTGCCAAATGGCATTTTTTTTTTACTTTTTTTTACTAGATCTTTGAAACCGTTAGGCCTGCCTTTCCAAAAATTTAATTTGTTCTTCACCATGGCAATACAAGTAAAATATTTTTTGAATTATTAAAATCGGACGCTCCGTTTCCTTAAGAACTGAGGTACTGTTTTTGGCACTTTTTGCCCCGCATCCTCGGAACCGCTAGACCTGCCTTTGCCAAAAACTAATCAGCACTTCTCCTTATCAATACGAATCGAATGTTTTTTAAATTATTCAAATCGGTTGATCCGTGTTCCCGAAATCATCGACGAAAATTTGTATCCTGCACACACGCACACACATACACACACACATACATCCTTTTTTTCTAAGGTATGCCTGTTTTTCAAAAATTTGTCACCTTTTTTGGTCCAAAAATTTGGTCCTTTTTTACCCCATAGGCGGGACAAAATGGGATGGCCTGGGGTCAAACAGGTCTTCTTACTTTTAATTTTGAAGGGGTTTTATCGAACTATAGCTACATTATTCAATCAATGAGGTTTAGAAGGAAATAAATAAATGATATACACACACTCTATTTCATTTTATGTGTAGTTTGTGTTCTTTACTATTATTTCTATATTATTTTTATATTTCTTTATAACTATTATTTTAACTCTAATGAGCGTTTTCTATTATTCTTTATCATTCTCTATCATTCTCTTATTAAGAAGTGATATTTCTCAATGATATGCCAAACTATTGCCTGATTTATTTAACCAAGTATTGTCTATGACAATGTATTATCTTGCAAATTTTTTCTCCTTCCTTATACGTTGTACATTATTTTATTATGCCTTATGTATTTTTTTAAAAACACGGAGATGTAATTTTTTTTGAAAACTGCTCACAGTTTTTCTTTTTTGTTACATACAGAATTTATTATTTTTAATTATTTTCACTCACTCAATATTTCAAAATATAAATTACAAATCATATGCATTCGTTTGAATAACACAAGTATATTAATAAATACACTTTTGTATATAAATTTAACTTTTCTCGTTTTTTGATCTTAGCTAGATCAAATTTATTTTGATTCGAACGCGAACCGTTGTAAAATAGATTTACATAACTTGTTTATATGTTGTGGATCATTCATGATATCGATTAAGGAATATTTCAATTGAATAATTATTATTTGGTGCTTCCAGAATTATTTTTTTGATAGGTTCAAAAAAAATATTTTTATTATAATACATAAAAATTGTAATCAGGACTTCATACCAAGCAAGATATAATAATTACTTACTAGTATTCTATTTATATACTAGTCTCAAAGCATACTTTTGTCATACTAACATTTTAAGACTTGACCAGAAACTTCATTTTTGCATTAATTTTGCAAAGTAAATAATTAATTGAAAACAACTTCTCTATAAAATCATATTACATTAAT